ATTAAACTAGACCATTCCAGACTTAATGGTTCAAAACATTTATTGGATTGCAGTCACGGAGTCAGGAGTTTTCTCTTAGGGGGGCCAAGAGAATGAGAGATGAACAAGAATAGAGAATGGAGACTAGGTGAAAATTTCTAAAAGTGCACCTATGAGATGTATTCTACAACTAAATCCAACCAAAAAGTTTGGTTTAAACTGTTAACTTTAAAGTTGAACCCTATTAAATTTCAGGCTATGTTAAGATTGAGACATTGTTCAATCCGACCCTATAACATATAAGTAATAAGATCATTCTAGTTCAAGTCCAAACCTGAAAAATCCAATTCAAATAAATTGGATTGACATAGGAAAAAAATAATGAATTTTGTTAAAGTTAAAATTAAGATATCAAGAAATCAAATTGGGTCATGGTTGAGATAAATCAGTATTAATGCGACTCCGCCTACCCAATAACATTTTCTCTAAAATGCTTTAGGTGTCCAAACATTAGCCCAACCTGGTTGTTGGTATATGTGATGGGCTATCCCCCACCCAATAACTTGGCTCTGCCCCTTTTGGATTGGATTGGCCCTGATCCATCTGTAAAAGATTTATATTGATTAATATCGGATCCATTGATAGAAGAGTATGGGTGTCGATGTACAAGATTTGGGTTGAACCCAATAACATAATGATATAAGAAACTTGAAATCTGGTCTGCCTCGTTAAATTTGACTTTCTGCTAATCCAATTATTTTGGGTCCTTTTTATGATATATCACATATATCATATATTTATAATATCTTCTTTTCGTGAGTTTAAAGTGCCATCTGCTATCAATATATAATCACATAATTTATCAAAATGATAAATAGAATTACATTCGATTATGAAATAGAAAAGCTATGATATCCGAAAAATAATTGACCAATAACTGGAATCATAAATGTGGTAGTAAATAAGATGTTATTTACCAAAATTTATGGATGGGTTTTAATTGGTCAAAACTCTTTTTATATCATATCTTTTCCACATCATAGATTTTCTCATGACAAAATCATAATAAATTAACAAAAAACACCTTTAGGAATTGAGTATTGGTGTAAAACTCATATGGCGTAGCTGAGAAATAAAAATAGAAGAAAAAAGATAATAAAGAGGCTTTTGAGCATAGGGTTGTTTGAAGTTAAAATTTTCAGATTAGAGAAGAAAAACAGAGAAAGAAAGGTCTTTTATAATTATAATCATGAAAATTCCACCAATAAAAGTTAAAATCATGAAAAAGAAATTTAGTGATACAATATTAAAATAGTGAAAACCACTTTCAAGCGAATTAGGTTTTTGTTGGCCTTGATCAGGCATTGGGTCAGGTCGATTTTAAGTTGGGATGAACTCTATTACCCGAATGGTACTTCTTTCCCGTATTTCAAATACTCCGTACAGTACCCAATAAGTTATTGGGTGTT